CGTGTCCCCAGGCCGACAATGGCGGGGGGGGGGGAGCAGGGCCATATGTAGAGCAGAACAACTGAGGCTTTGCCCCAGTTTGCCAAAATTTAGAGGGTGCAGAAATCTCGTGAGAGTGAGGAAAATAGATAGCAACACCCCCTAGACTTTTTTTCACTCTTTTTTGAAAGCACAAATTTTCTGCTTTTGGTGGTTGTAGTTTTTTTCGGGCTGTCGGGCCGTGTTCTGGAGGTGGTTCTTCCTAACGTTTTGCCAGTCTTGCGGCCGGCCTCTTCAGAGGACAGGTGTTAGAATTCTTATTTTAATTTCTTTTAGAGAAGGGGTGTCGACTTGTTTATATCGGACCCATGATTTGCCGGCGGGGGGGCGGGGGAGTTAATGAGAGATGGTGGGTTCCCGCAGGTGGTCTGTTCTGAAATTGCTTTTTGGTGCCCACTAGTGGTCAGTTCCAATATTGCCACATGCAAATACTTCCCCAAAATATGAACAGGCATGGGGGGGGGGAGGAAGAGAATGATAGAAACCCTGCTGCATCCTAATACCTCTCAAGTGTGAAATTAACTAGGAAATACTACTTGTAACTAGTTACTTCTGAGTCCCGGGGAACCAAATTGTCCACAAATATTTCTGCACAAAGTTTGCTACTCTAGGTTTCTAGTCCCTGCAGACAGCAGAATCGAGACATTCAGGTTTTGACATGCGTTGTGCCCTGCACCCAAGAAGGCCAATTAAAATCTATTTAAAATATGTTCCATCATGGTTTATAGAAAACACGCTACACCGTACAAGACTTCTAATCTGTATTCTCTGCTGAGAGGTTTAAATGGAGTAGCAAACCTTCAGAGCCCCGGATTGCTCGGACTACAAGCTTCATCCTCCTTAACGGTGGTGATCATGCCAGTGGGGGCTGGCCGCAGCTAGTCGGCCGCAGGTTGCCGACCCTGGTCCGAATCCCCCTGGAGTGATCCAGAACGGCTGCACTCCGGGACGTGGAGGGCAGCGTCACACACCTCCCCGGCCACGCACGGACAGCTCGGCACCTCCTTTCCCCACCCCTCTGCCTTTGATGAGTGCAGACACAAATTCGGCAAAGCAAATAAGGTAATTAATAAAAGATTAGGACGCAATGTGGCACATTAAATATTTAAACCCCACAGCTGCCGGGAGGGAGGGAGGGAGAGAGAGAGGACAGACACAGCTGGCACTCTTGCTGTGTTGCAGGAAAAGAAAAAGGCAGGGCTCTCTCTCTCCTGAGCATGGACAGAGTGCCACCATCCTCCCACCCCCAAAATATAGTGGACAGATGCATACATTTGGTCACAGGAAAATAAAACTGCCAGTTCTCGACTAGGAATCATTTTGGTGCCTTTAATTTTTTAAAAATTGTAATTAGGGGCCAGGATGCAGGCAGGATAGGATTTCACCAGGCCTCAAAAGCAATTTAACATGGAACCGCTCAGAGGTTTAGGTCTCTGGAGGTTGGGAGTTCGAATCTCGCCCCCCCCCCCCGCCTGGGGCCTTCTTGACTGGGGCTAGACTGGATGACCTCTGGGTATTATTATCATCACATAATTAAGGGCAAATTCTGCTTTTGTTATTCAGTCTCTCTCTCTCTCTCTCTCTCTCTCTGTGTGTGTGTGTGTGTGTGTGTGTGTGTGTGTGTCAGGGCAGGGAGGAACAGCAACAGAACAGAAAATCCAACCCAGCACATTTTTAAAATATATGTATTCCCCCCCCTCCCCGTTC